CAAGGCTATCTCCCAGAACGAATTTGATGAAGAATGGTGAAGAAATGGTGAAGTTTTTGTTTCCATTATATAGAAGAAGGGAAGGGGAAGAAGACATGGGATGACATGTTGTTCTCCTGTTTTGGCGTCTCAGTGGAGCAGACGGCCGATAACGCAAGTCCCTGATTGGGACCAATTTTGGTTCCAGTCGGGGTACACTTTTTGGTCCAACTTTCTCCAAATTGAAATCCGATAGAACCGTTGGGGTCAGACAGTCAAACTCTACATAATGATATGATTTTCATTATTTATTGACAAACTTTAGAATTTACTTATTTTTGGGTCCTTCTCAGTAATTAATTAATTATAAATTAATTAACTCTGATAGACCTATTTTTGGGGTGTTACATTTCTCTCCCCCTTAAAATAATTTCGTCCTCGAAATTACCTGAGTCATTGATTGAAGAGATTCAGATACTGTGTTCTCATTGACTCTTCGGTTTCCGATGTTGTTTCTTCAGTCGAATGATTTCTCCATAGTACTTTGACTAAAGGTACGGATTTGTGTCTCAATTGTTTGACTTCTCGTGCTAGAATTTGTACAGGTTCCTCCTCATAAGTCAATTGTTCGTCAAGAGTTACGATTCCTTCAGTCAAGATATGTGATGGATCGGAACGATATCTTTTCAACATCGATACATGGAATACGTCATGGATTTTGTTCAGTTCTTGTGGAAGTTCTAACCGATAGGCTACTGGACCCACACGTCAGTGATTCGATAGGGTCCAATATATCTCAGACTTAGTTTTCCCTTTCTACCGAACCGTAACACTTTCTTCCACGGTGAGACTTTCAGAAACACCTTGTCATCAACATTATATTCGATCTCCTGACGTTTTAAGTCGGCATAAGATTTCGGTCGATCGGAAGCCACCTGCAATCATTCTCTGATTAGACGAACCTTCTCTTCAGTTTCGCGAACGAGATCAGGTCCTTCAAGCTTTTGCTCACTTAATTCTGTCCAGCATACTGGGGTTCTACATCGTCTCCCATACAAGGCTTCGTACGGGGCCATTTGGATACTCGCTTGATAACTATTGTTATACGCGAATTCCATTAGCGGTAAGTATTGTTCCCAGTTGCTTCCAAAATCAATTACACATGCTCTCATCATATCTTCAAGAATTTGAATTGTCCTTTCAGATTGTCTGTCAGTTTGAGGATGAAATGCCGTACTAAAGTTAAGTTTAGTACCTAAGGCTTTCTGCAAACTTTTCCAGAATTGTGAAGTGAACCGCGGGTCACGATCAGAAATGATAGACAAAGGTACACCATGTAATCTCACAATCTCACGGATGTACAACTCTGCCAACTTCTTCAAGGACATATCGCGTCGAATAGGAATAAAATGAGATGACTTGGTTAATCGATCAACAATTACCCAGACAGCGTCATTTTTCTTGGCTGATAATGGAAGTCCAATCACAAAGTCCATCGTAATTCGTTCCCACTTCCATTCAGGGATAGTAGGTGGATGTAACAACCCATTAGGCACTTGGTGTTCAGCCTTGACTTGTTGACACGTCAGACATCGTGTTGTAAATTAAGAAATTTCCCGCTTCATTGTGGACCACCAATATGTCTTCTTCAGATCTTGGAACATTTTATTACTACCAGGATGCATGGTATAAGTGGTTTCGTGAGATTCACGCATTAAACGTTCCCTCACTTCGCCACTAGGAACTACCAAGCGATTCCGGTAGAATAAAATTCCATTATTTACTGTGAAATCTTGTCTCTCCCCCTTAGAGACAAGTTCACAAGTCTTCAAACAGTAGTCATCACGTTTTTGTGCAGCATGAATTTCGTTCTCAAGAGTAGGTTGAACTCGGAGTTCGGCTATCATCTTTCGGCTCAATGC